CTACGGAATATTAAATCATCCACCTTTGCTCACTACATCTTAGCCTTTCTTACCCTCAAGCATGCACAAACTACAGGTTATTAACTTCTTTTTAAATACCAAAATGTGAAATTATCGGTTATCGTATAGGTATCGGCTGATAAAATCCATGTCTGACAAAGTGTCAGTATTTGACCACCTGGAAATGAAAACATGTTGGATGAACGCCTGCCACTGATGCCAGGTTTTATCAGAGCTCCACCTCTTCACCTCCTTCCAACAACTACATGTTTTTAACAGTGTGTGTAGGAAAACACACACTGAGATAATGTGTGTATGTTTGTGTATTTAGCACATGTACTATCAGGCCTCTCCCTGCACTCTTTCATAAAACAACAAACCTAATCTGTCACTCACTGATGAAAAGGCTTTTATGGCATCTGACCCGATCTGTTAGCTGCTATCTGACGCACCTGACAGTCACATCTTTCTTGCCTTGACCTACATAGCTCTACACACACACACACACACACACACTTCACAGTTATCGTTATATTACTGTGTAACGCTTTGCTGATTGACATTCTTTCTCAGACCCTAAAACAAACTCATCCTAACCTCCATCCACACAAACAACTGTCCTTTTCTACTTCTCTTTTCATTTGTGAACATTTAAAACGTTTAATTCCAAAATACAGCACTTGTCAACCTGTCAAGTCTCCATTTAAAGGACAATTCCAACATGTTTTTTATTCATCATTTTCCCTGTTTAAGCCTTTAACATTAATTCTGACTGCTTTTATATGAATGAAAGATGATTACAACCTCAGTAATCTTGCTCATGTGTCTTGGAATTAAAGTGAAAAGGAGTGAATGAGTTGGTAAAAGTGGTCTGACACTAAGACTATATTCACATTAGTATGGTTTAATTTTAAAACAGCATTTTAAAACAAAAACAATTGATGTACACTGGGCATGTGCATGCCGATGTACACAGGAAGCAGATTGTCTGCTCTGCGGTTGTTTGATTGTTTGGTAAAAAGTAAGACCAGAGTTTTCTTTAGCCCCTTTTACACTGCCAGATTTTCCGCGAATGTTGGGCCGTTTTGGCGGCAAGCTGTGAGCGTTTATACACACAGAGCCGGATTGGCGAGTTGATCCAAGGTGCCCAATTTTCCACCTCGTAGGGTAGACATATTGGCAGAACCCTTTTAGTTTAAAAAGACCGACGCGGCCTTCCGCCACGGGAGGGGCTGTTGATGACTTGTGGGAGGAGCTGTTGATGACGCCGCACATGCGACCCACTGGCGGTGGACTAACAGGAAACAGCTGATAGCAGGAATGAGCAGCTAGTAGCAAGAGGGAAACACAAACCTGACAGACACTGTAAAGATGAGCAACTGGGGAGACAAGGAATTGTGCACCCTCCTTGCCCTCGCAAATGAAGAGGCCATTAACCGTCAAATGACGGGCTAACTTACGAGAGAATGACCGAAGGACTGACCAGCCGTGGCTTCCCCTCCCACGTCACTGTTTACGTCACACGCTGAACAACACGTTTTATTACTTGCTCACGCCCCCCATTGCCCCGAAAAAGGCGCATTCTGTATAAACAAAAGTAGGCAGGCGGCATTTTGCTGCACTCCCCGATTTTGTTTTTATACTGCCAATGCTGAAAAAAGACTGATTGGGCTTTCCTGCAAATTTACACAATTCCTGTTTAAAAATGGCTTTTGATTGGATCGACAAAGAGGTGGAACTGTTACTGAAAGTAACACGAGTATACATAGATGGTAAATAGCCTGCACTTGTATAGCGCTTTTCTAGTCTTCTGACTACTCAAAGCTCAAAGCAAACTACATGTCACATTCGCCCATTCACACAAGGTGCCACCTGCTACTCAGTAACCATTCACTCACACAAGTTGTACCCCGCAATTTGGGGTTCAGTATCTTGCTCAAAGATACTTCAACGAGCTGGAGGAGCAGGGGATCAAACCGCCAACCGACGACGAACACTACCTTTGAGCCACAGCTGCCCCAATAAGGTTTAAAGTATATAGGGTGGCAGAAAGCAGAGTGGGAGTTCATGAATCCGGACCCAACGTGTTTTGGAACCTATTTCTGCTTTTTTAAAATCTCCAGTATATGAATAGTAATCATCATCAGATGTGACTCCTCTGACCCAAAACTCAGCCAACAAATCAATATTTCCTTTTCAGTTTACCTTGTAAATGCAAAGAACTTTAAACCCATGTTTTAATAAATGCCACTCTACACAAATGTATCATCACAATTGTAAGTTATTGCTGAAGTTATGACTCCCCTTTAGAACTCTGAGGTCTGAACAGTTCAGCTTTTTTAAGGTTAAAATCAGCAGGGAATGAAGAAAATATTTGAACATTCAGGCTGTTGAACCTGTGCTGTTGAACGTTTTCCAGAAGTGAATTTAAAAGAAACACCCACGCTGCACAGGAACAAGATAACATAGAAACTCTGGAGAGTAAAACACACACACACACACACACATACACACCTGACTGGCACATGTCCACCTGCACCACATGCACATTGCGACACATGGACTGAGCTCAGGTTGCACAACTTCTACCTGCTACCTCACACTTTGCCCTGAGAAAACATTCCCATATCTCTACACCTGGGAGGGGCTGCTGACGGTGACAGGTGTGTGATGGTGAGCATTTTTGCGCACAACAGGCATAGTGTAACTCTCATGGTATAGCGACTAAATTTTGAAATTTTGGTTCTCCAGTGTCCTGCCAGCTGGGGGCATGGGATTGACCTCTCTGTCAGAATATCAGGATATACTGATTTTTCTTATCCGTGCTTATATAACCGCACAGCAAAACATTACAAGCAGCAGAGAAAGAGGAATGCTGCTTGGCTGCAGTGAGCAAGGGCAGTGACAGGTTAATGACAGTAAAGTATAAAGACGCTGGATAATTTACAAAGCCTCGCTACCTCCCACAGTTTGTGCTTATAGTTCTATCCATTCAATTTCCTGTCCCGGCTGCTTCTCAGCACAGTGCCAAAGTTCGTTTTGCTTTCCAAAATTGTATCATTGACCTGTACCATTACAGCTGAGTTGCAGAGGGAAGAAAAACCTTCACAGCCAGTACAGACAGGAGAAAATATCACTTTAAAGGCCCTGTCCACACAAATGTTTTCATTTGATCTGCTGATTAGCCCTCAGACTGGAGGTGGGAGGAGCTATGCTAGGAATGATCTGGTCACCACGAATTTGTTCCACCAAAATAAGTGTAAGAGGAGAATGCAGCAGACACCAAATAGTAGCCCTTTTTACTGTAAATAGGAATTGTGCAAATTTGCAGGAAAGCCCAATCAGTCTTCTTTCAGCATTGGCACTATAAAAACAAAATCGGAGAGTGCAGCAAAATGCCGCCTACCTACTTTTGTTCATACAGAATGTGCCTTTTTCGGGGCAATGGGGGGCGTGAGCAAGTAACAAAATGTGTAGCTCAGCATGTGATGTAAACGGTGACGTAGGAGGGAAGCCGTGGCTGGTCAGTCCTTCGGCAATTCTCTCATAAGTTGGCCCGTTCTTCACCGTCCCTGTCATCTGACAGTTAATGGCCTCTTCATTTGCGAGGACAAGGAGGCTGCTTCCTTGTCTCCCCAGTTGCTCATCTTTACAGTGTCTGTCAGGGTTGTGTTTCCCTCTTGCTACTAGCTGCTTGCTAATTCCTGCTATCAGCTGTTTCCTGTTTATCCACCGCCAGTGGGTCGCACGTGTGGCGTCATCAACAGCTCCTCCCATTGCGGAAGGCCGCCTCGTTCTGTTTAAACCAAAAAGGTTCCGCCAATATGTCTACCCTACGAGGTGGAAAATTGGGCGCCTCGGATCAACTCTCCGGCTCTGTGTCTAAACGCTCACAGCTTGCCTGCAAAACGGCCCAACATTCGCCAAAAATCTGGCAGTGTAAAAGGGACTAGAGACAGACAGCCATTCACGCTCACATTCACACTTATGGACAATTTAGAGTCACCAGTTAACCTGATTGCAGAAGGAAGCCGGAGAACCCGCAGAAACCCCCACCTGGAGGTTCTCAATTGAAGAAGGGCGAGAGAGCTGCATGTGGCTCCAGAGCAACAGGTTGCCTACCCCTGCATTAAGACAAAATATTAATTTTATTGCATTGATTCAGCATCCTGCTTATATGTAGGTGGGCTATGTAAGCTCAATATGATGTTACAGAAACGTCACTGACCAACGATTCATCATTCTTTAGTGTGAATGACAAGACTGATTGCATTGCAGAGATGCAGGAGCTCCTCTGAGTTTGTGCAGTGTCATCAACAATCAACAGGGTCTGAAGTTGATTAACCTTCGTCAATAAGAACGGTGACAGTTTAGGTTTGTTTTCTCAGTTGATCCTTTTGAATATTTACTGCTCACATATTAAGACAAGTATAACTGTGGGACTGACGTGAAATGAGACTTCATATTTATTGTTCCCTTTTCATTTTAAGAAAATTGTAACTCAGCTGTAGTCAGAGCTGCATGGATATGCTTCAGTGTGTTATTCAATATTCTTAAGTTATATCCTTCCTGTTGCTGTCAGACTTTACATCCAACACTGCTCTGAGTAGACCTCACACACATACTAAAACTGTGGACAATCATCACTCGTGTGCAGTATCTGTATCTGTATATATTAACTGAAATATCTACATTTGATACGTGCAATAATATAAATTCCGATTGTTGTAATGTTGCAAATTTCCCTGCTGTGGGACGAATACAGGATTCACATCTTAACAATTAAAATATATGGAAACATGCAAAATGTCCCTGCCTTCCCTTGTGTATCTCTTTTACTCTACAGCTCTGTGTGTGTGTGTTTGTTTGTTTGTGTGTTTGTTTGTTTGTTTGTTTGTGTGTGCAATAAAACCACACAGACTTTCCAACTCTCATTCATTATTTAATTACATCAATATTAAAAAAAAGTGCTGCTTGGTAAAGAATAACATTTCTTTTAAATTCAAATTCAAAATGAACAAAGGAGGAAAAAAAGACTAAAATAATTTATGATACAATAACAAAAATATTGACATTTAAAAAAATCTGTACAATATTTTAACCAGAAAGAAAAAAACTCAAAACATTACAGGCCAGACTGCAGTCAGGTGGAGGTAGGTTTTATCATGCTAAGAACAAAAATCATCCCTGCTGTCTGGTTAAAACCTCTTGACTTCAGAAGGTGGTTCATCATGGCTGGGAGGCTTCACACAAGGAGAAAAAAATAAAAAAAATCAACTGGGAGACGTTTGGAAGAAAAATCAGGAAGCCTCCGCTCGTGTTTGAAGGAGATGAGGTTTTAACCAGACAGCCACATAATCAAACAGGAAACAAGAAGACCTGAACAGAATTCATTTCAAGGCAGAACAGGTTTAAAAACACCAAAAAACCTCAAATCTCATTATTCCTACCAACCAAGGGTCTGTTCAAGTACACTCAGTCTGAAGGAGGAAGAACTCGTAATACGAAACAGGATGCACTTAAGACATTTGTAATGAAATGTGCAAATGGAGAACATTTGCTTATCCGTGTCAAATAGCACATGAATGGATAACATTTACAATAATTGATATTTAGAGTAAAATAGCATTCAATTAAACATGTATCCCCATTATTGATATCTCAAACTTCAGATACAGCCCAAAGTACAAGTTCAACAAAACACCCTGTAGTAAATGGATATAACAGGATCCTGGTGAACATGTACAGTATTCTTTTACTTTCTTAAAATATTACTTGGCGTCACGGCTCTCTCCAGCTGCCATTTTGTGTCCATGTAATAAAATATATCTTTTATTGGGCACAAAATGGCTCCAGCGAGGCCGTCCATCTTTGAAAAATGGGAATGTTGGTCAGTGGCCCTCATTCATGTAACATGTACATGGCTCAAATCTTATGTTAAAACTGACAACACATTTAGTTATCACAGGCTTAAGGTCGTGATCAATCGGTCACTTAATTACAGCATCTTCAGGGTCATCCTCATAATGTGATGAAGAACGTTTGACCAAAGAGGGCCACTGACAAATAAATCACTGACATTTAAACAATTTCCATGAGATTAATGGTCGTCCAATAATAAATATGTGGACCATTTTCCTTAATTTACACTTAGCAAACGGCTGCTCTCCGAGCTATGGAACTAAAGATCACAGTATTACTGCGGTTGCAGCTTCCTCCAACTAGAACCTTTAAATAACGTCAGGACACCATCGGTTTGTCGCTCCATTTCCGACATGCAAATATCAAATGTTATGCATTGGTTTTCCTTCCCGACTTTGGCTGATTTGCTACGACAGCACGGCCCATGGTTCAGTTCACTTTGCAGCTCAGTCTCCTCACAACCTGAATGCTTTAATATGGCTACCTTTGAGTTAGTTAATGACAAATACTTAAATACACAAAGTAATTTCCAATTTCACAACTCCAGAAAACACACACACACACACACTCTGAAGTGACTGAGGTGGTGGTGAACTGAACCGAGGCCGAGCATTGTTATGTGTACAGTATCAAACCTGGTCTATACAGTACTGTCATTGACACACATTAACCTGATTAACAGAGTGGTGTTGGGCCCAAGGGTCCGCCTGAGGCCAAACAGGACTGAAAGCACACTGAAAAACCTTTTTCCTAACCAAGACAAATTTCATAATATCAGATTTGGAATTTAACTGGAATTGACAGAAGTGCAGCTGCCCAAATAACTTCGAAGCCACCATCAACCACCTGTCAGAGTGGAGGGATCACTGGTTAGTATGGCTATAGGACATCCTGAAAACAATATTCAAGTTTCATTCAACTACTGAGCTGATGGGGCTCCAAGTTATTTGACTCAACAGGCACTTCTGCCTCGCATCAATTTCACATGTGCCATTTGGCATCCCCAAGACTTAAGATTCCCAAATGGAATGAAATTAAAAAAACAAACGATAACAAAAATATACTGTCCTTGTCTTTCAATGTGCATTCAGCCAAGCTAAAAAATAAAAAAATCTGCTCGCTCCATCCTCGTTTTAAAAAACATCCTACTCTCTACAACAGTCAGCAGTCAAGGCATGAGAATGATCAGTTCTGAGGCAATGAGTGTGTCGTGTTTGTCCATGGCAACAGTTGCATGTGTGACTCTTTACAGTTCAGAGCTACTGTTACCATCAAGTCCTTGAAATGTCAATCTTTGTGCACTCTTTTCAGCATGACACGCCATCCTTTCTCCCCACCTAACCCTCTGTCTTTGTACAAAGTCTCTTCCCTTATCCACCCTCACCCCCCACCCGCATTGTCTCTACACAGCTAAAAATGCAGCCCATGGTTCGGTCTTGGACCATTAGCTGCGAAGCTGCTCCAGCCTCGCTTTCAGCTCTTCCTGTTTTGCTCTTAGTTTGTCCCTCTTGGATTGCAGTCTATGGCCTTCGTCCTCCAGGCCGTAGATGCAGTCTCTGGCCTTCTTCAGGATCACCACCTTGGATGCCTTGTCATTGTGCGACAGCTCAGGCACGTTGTCGCGGAGGCGCACGAAGCAATTCTTCAACTCGTTACGCCGCTGCCGCTCCATCACGTTGTGTGTCCGCCGCCTCTCCTCCTCATCTTCGGTCTCTGTAGAATTCCGCGACGAATGGTGGTGGTGGTGGTACCGCGATGAGGATGATGATGATGACGATGATGAAGAGCTGCGAGAGGAGTGATGGTACCGCGATGAGCCATCGCTCCCTCGTGATCGCTTGTTGGATGAGGAGGATGATGAAACTGGCGGTGAGGCGGGACACGGTGCAGCGTAGTTGTGTTGCAGCTGGATCTCAAAGTGGTGACGTTGGAGAGCTCGCTGCTCCTCTTCCTGCTTCTGCTGACGGACAGACAGGTCAGCCAAAGAGGGCCGAGGGGAGGGGCTGGAGGGACAGCGCACCACAGTCACCACGTCAATCTCCTCCTCTGTCAGAGAAAAAAGAAAGTGGAGAAGGGTTAGATGGACTCTCTGGCACAACCTCATCTTCTGACCCTTGTGGTAAGTTCATCTACCCTGTGACGGCGTGACGACATTTCAGAGTAACGCTGACACCAACAACAAGAGTGTAGATAGTGTACACAGCACACCAACGTGAGCTTGGCGCGCACACACGCCAGTCAGTAGTGAAAATCTGTCCCACTGTAAACAGCCATAAACGTACAGAAGCTTACAACTGTTTGCAAACCATAACTCTGTCACTGAGTAAAGGCCGCTCAAGATTACAGCAACAGTTGAACGTATAAACAGTTGTTAAACTTTGATGCTCTGAAATGTACAATTAAGTATTTCACATGGAACTTGAGCATGAAAGCTATTCACAGTTAAAATGAATAGATAGCTATGCTGTGTCAAATACTTAAAAAAAGTCACTTTTTACTAAAAACATATTTTTCACAATGAGTTTTCCTTGAAAGTAAATTCAATAAATGCCAATCTGCCGCTTCCTCTCAGGTTCATAGCCAAGGATGCCGGAGGGCTCGAGTCAGTGAAATGACTCATTAAGAGTTAATGGATGGAGCCGCAACTGTGCTTGCTGAGCATGAGTCACTCACACACATACACACACCCTCCCAGTCAATTATCTCTCCTAAAACCTCTCATCTACTCATGTCAGTCAACGGCTAAAACCCCGCCCACACTGAAACAACATCCTCGAGTCATAAAGGCTCCTGCGGATTTCAGGTGGGCGGCTGGCATCCAGATAAGCCGAGTGCAAAGAACAATTTTGGGCTCAGTGCCACTAAACATTAACTGTGAATTATCAATGAAATGTCAGCGAGGCTGTTTGGGGCGAGAAGTGTTTATACTGATAAGCTGCACAATGACAAGGCAGGAATGAGATTAAAGTATCAGAATGGAAACACTGACAATAATCCAACAAGGCAGCATTTCATTAAAAACAAGATTCTAAAAGGAATCGCTGATTGAACGCTCACGACAAGTGCAAATATTACGGCTTAGCTTTCATATGAAATAAAATCATGAATGTAAGAGGAGGTCTGAACTCACCAGAGTCACTAGATGAATATGTAGACAGCTCGCCACCTGTTGAGCCATAGTCTGATGTGGCCTCGCTGGGCTCCTGAGTGTCCATCAGATTCTGGCAGTCCAGTGTGGAGCCGGCGATCTCTTCAAAGATGCTGGTGTTGATGTCGGACAGCAGCGGGCTGGAGCCGAGCATCGAGGAAACCAGCTTCTCCTCCAGGCTCTTGTCCCCTGCCAGGCACTGCCACAGGCAGTCCTCGCCGCCCTCCTCCAGAGGGGAGCAGGGCTGGCTGGGCTCGCCTTCCTTCTCAGCAGCATCGGAGTGGAAGAAATCGTAGTTCCAGTTGAGCTGCATGTCATGGTCCTCCAGCAGGATGTCTGATACATAACTCAGCTGGTCCTCCTTGGACAGGGGCTTAGTGCCACCCAGCCCGCTCTTCATCGGTGGGGACTGAGGGGGTGTCGGCAGCGACTGGAGGTCCTTCATCAAACTTTGGCAGAACTCATCGTCAAACAGCAGCGGCTCCGAGTAAAGCCAGTCCTGCGACTGAGAGAAGCTTTGCAACATGTTTGCTTGTAGAATCTGGAGAAAATAACAAAAACCAGGACAAAAGAATAAAAATCAGAGAGGTAGTGAAGTTTAAATCCAGAGAAGCTGAACCAGTAGTGTGTTTAAAGCAGCTCCGTGTCAGTACGCCGTAAATCCCAGCAGCACCAACACGTGTTGTAGTGAAAGTTTAGGCCAGTTTCTCCAAACTGAGACCCCAGCCGGTAGTGAGGCATCTTTTATCTGTGTTTACATCACTGTAGCCCCGCCCCACTGCTCCCCAGGGGAGGCCGTAAATCACCCCAAAAAACTCCCCCTCCGCATGACATCATAGGAACAGCTGGGAGATACAGGGGCAGAAACTTTACACCTCTTTCCACAATTCACGTTTTTCCTTCTCAGAAAGTTAATAAAAACTGGAGTAAGTGGAGCCTGGCTGACACGGAAAACAAAACCTTAAGAAATAAAAAGAGCCTGGGTGGCTTTTGTTAGTCCTTCTTTTTGTTACTCAACACTTAAAACCTCTGCTTCTGTTTCACATGCATGACCCACAGCCTCCCTGCAGAGAATCAAGACACTCTCACCTTCTTTTAAATACTACTTTACTCCACACAAAGCCTCGGTAATTATCTTTTAAAAAAGCCCCAAGAATCTTGTATGATAACACAACCCAGTCAGGACATGCTGGTTTTCTGCTGCCATTCATAAACCAACCATCATAATGAAGAAAAACTTCAAAATGCTGTTAAAAAAAAAACAAAGCAACCAATTCTCTGATTACACCTAACTGGAAGTGGAACTGAAATGGAAAATCCTGTGAGATTTCTATGGGGTCTCATGGTATGTGCATGTATAGCAGGCAGTGTTGGAGAACAAAGCAGCAGTGTGTGCGGTGCAGACACTCTGGCAGTTAAAGGCTGCCTTTCTTTACCATCACAGCCTGGGAAACCCGAGCTAACACTTCAACACAGACCAGTCTGCGCCGTGACAAGACAGTAGAAATGAGTCATTAATAGTGTTTTAAATGACATTTCCACATTTATCTTCACACTATATGACTGTTAACCGCAGACGAATGCATGCCATTATCTTGCACTAGCAGCGACTGAGCACAGACTGTGCATAGAGAGTACACAAAATGAAGCATGTAAAAAAAATGTGAAATTCCCAATGAGGATTTGAATGGAGATTCAGTGACGCTTTCCTGTTAGGTCGCGTGGACTGCACGCTCTTGCACCACACTGAGTTTATATTAAAACTGAACACCGTGTACACAAATATGAAATCACATTTCGAAATTTACACCAAGCATGCAACAAGCCGTGTGTCTGCGCAAATTCAGTGTTTCCGGGTGCAATAAGAGCACAAAGGAAGTCTGTTAAAAATCCAAAGGTTAACCCGATGCACGGGTCATTTAAACCCGGCATGGGTTGAGCAACACTGGGTCCCCACGTGAAACCGGTGTTCTTTATTCTTCAGTTTACCACTTTAAATCACACGAAATGCAAAATTACAACCAATACACGCACAAAAGCACAACTCAACACGCAACCATGACTTTGCTGACTTTAAACGCCCTGTGTCTGTGTGTGCAAGTTATCTTAACCTCAATTCACCGGCATGCAGCTGTCTTACCTTCAACTGTCCTCACGGGAAATTCAACACGAAGAAAACTGGATGAAATGTCCGAGTAAAGTCCACAGGGAGAGCAAGAACTTGAGTTATCAACTCGAGTGAGATTTTCTGCGTGTAAAATTAAAGTTACAACAGGGCAGCATTGTGTTTATCTCCTTGTCAGATTCCTCCTCCGCTACGGGCAGACAGAGTAGGTGTGGCCGTCGGGGTCGCTCGGTTTATATGTCCGCCACCCGCCGGTGTGCTTCCGCCTTAATCAAAATCGCGCCAAAACGTACAAACCGACGAAATGTCTTTAACGGCAAGCGAGCATATCGCCTATATATCCTCAGTCGGTCCCTGTTTTGAACGAGTCCAGGCGGAAACACCGAAAAATGCGGCGTTTCCGGTAATTTCGCACTGAAGTCTGGGTCTATGTTGCCTTCCCCGCGGAGTAATACCGCTCATGCTGGGATTCCAGGAAAATGGTGGCGGGTAAAAGTTAGGACAGAAACACACGTGGATTGTGAGGAGATGCCGGGTGTCTGCCTGCCTGTCTGCCTGCCTGTCTGTCTGTCCTGCCTCGGGGCGCCGCAAAACGGAGCGAAAGCAATTTAAAACTGTTTTAATCATCATTTTAAAACTACATTCAGAATAAACAACCAAATAAGCGATGCATTCAGGGGCTGCTCCGCCTATTTAGATGCATTAATGATTAGTCACACAAAAGATAAACTTTCACAGCCATGTGTGGGGGATGTGGTTCAGTAAGCCGGTGTGGTATTTTTATGGCATGTTAGGAACAGTGAGATCACAGTGTGTTTGACTCTCCCTGTCTGTAGTGTTGTGGCAGACAGACAGGCGGGCAGGTAGACAGGCTGAATGCTTTCAGAGCCACGTTGTCCTCCAATTCCAACTCTTGCAGGGGTGTTTCACCATCCATCCATCTGTCCCCAACTCCTCCTCCTCCTCCTCCTCCTCCACCTCTCACTACGAGCCTACTATTACTACTACAACCGCACAGACTATCTCAAACTGTCATCTACAGGCCTGGTGTTAAAGCAGAACAGTGGACATTACTGCACTTTAAGTTCAGTTTAATGCAAACTCACTCTTGTGTAGGCTACTGTATGCATATTCATATTTGTTGTGAAATTAGTTGCATGCCATAGACACATTTTAAGTGCTCATATTTTATTTTTGCACATTTATTTCTGTGCAAAAATAAAAACCTGAAATAAAACAAACAAACAAACAAAAAAAAAAACAGCAAAAACTTCATTCAAAACAAAACTGATATCATGCATAAATAAATAAATAAATACATAGTAATTGGGTGAACTGGCTGTGCACTGGGATGAATGAACTCCAAGCTGCCCCACTCAGATACCGCAGCCCTCCCTCCTCATCCTCCGCCTCTTGTAGCTTTCCTCTCATGCACTGCACGTTACATAACGGACGGGGATTCGCCGGTACACGTGCGGGCGCGGCGGCCAATCAGAGCGCGAGTCAGCCCCGGTTCACGTGAGTTCTCGACAAGCTCCAAGGGATCTTGTAACAGGAGCTCGAAGTCTCCATACCGACCGTACACATGCATTTATATACAGCCCTTTAAATACACGCACACGCCCATATAATATGATATTTTCATTTGAGACGGTCCAGTTGGTGATCACATGGGATTTAACATATATTTTTTAAACAGCGCACTATACATTACAATGGCTCAGTTATTTCTATTATCTATCCTTGCAGTAATAATCACTGCTTATTTATGTTAAAATGGTAAAAATGTGCATGAAGTCTGGTCTACACCAAACACAAGTTGGTGAATTAAGCTGAATTACACCCTTGTGTGTAACCATACATGTAAATAAACATCTCCTGTATATTTATTGTTATTTATCCATGCCCTTACTGTATACATTCTGCACTTCTAGGGATATAATCACAGCCTTGTTGGGAGTCTGCCACATGGAAACTATTTCTGCTGAGTGTAAATGCCCTCCACTTCCCAGAGAAGGGGGACTGCAGCATAATCCTACAAAGAAATAAAAAAAACCTGCGCAGCATTTTTATGAAAAGTCTGCTGTGCTACATTGGCAGGATGGGGTTTCTGTCTGTAGCAGCTGATGTAGGGCGGATCACAGCAGCACAGCAGAAAAGAACATTTTGCACACAAAGCAGGAGGGATGTGGATGTGAAGAACTGGGTTAATGTGCCACCTACAGGCCAACTGGCAGACTGACTGACTGGCCTGGTTTCAGCTCTGGATACTAAACCTCTTGGCTGGCGGAGTGACTCACTGGTTTAGTTTCTGACTAACTGGTCAATTCTGGGATTTCCAAATTGTTTCACAGAAATCCCACCCAAAACAGATCAGTATTAGGGCATACATTCAAAATGAATGATTTTAACGTTTGCAAAACTCACAGTCCAGATCACTGAGAGGTCAGTTGATCTTTTGTCATCAGCTCAGGATGATTACAAGTTTGTCGGTCTGTATGTTTACATGACATCAGAGAAAATTGATTTATTGTGTTAGTCTGACTAAATCTGGACTTTTAAATTACATGTAAACATGTTAGTCCATCTGAAATCGTGCAAAATCGAGTTTATCTAAGTCGGACTAACACCCAGATAATGTGATTGGGAGTCACATTACTCCTGCATGTGTACAGTCAATCAAACACAAACTGGCCTTTCTGTGCAGAGTTTGCATGTTCCCCTGTGTCAGCGTGGGTTTTCCCTCCAGCTTCCTCCCACTGTCCAAAGACATGCAGGTTAATTGGTGACTCTAATTTGGTTGTAGGTGTGAATGGTTTGTCTCTATGTGTCGGCCCTGTGATAGTCTGGTGACCTGTCCAGGGTGTACCCTGCCTCTTGCCCAATGTTGGCTGGGATAGGCTCCAGCACACCCCGTCCCCTAATGGAATAAGCGGTTATGGAAAATGAAAGGATTTATTGTGTTAATGTGACTAAAACCAGACTTTTAAAATACATGTTAACATGTTAGTCCAACTGAAATTGTACTGAATCTGCCCCAGGTTTTGATCCGGAAGCATTAAATGCATGACAGAAGAAGAAGCCAGTAACAACATGGTGAAACCAACATAGAGAGCCATGCATTTTTGGTCAGACAAGGAGAAACAGTTCACACAAAATACATGAATGAGAGGAAAGCATGGGATGACATCCTGTTCAAAAAAGTGGCAGAACAGCTGGATGACGCTCATTTTTAGTCGGTGACTGTTGTGGCACATAATTAGGAGGCCTAGGTGTATGGTTAGGGGTGGAGTTAGGAAGCAGGGAGAGGCTGATGTTCCACTTGGGGTATTGGGTAACTCCCCTTCCCAGGAGCTCACACACCTGAAAAGGCGGCGGTTGATTGGAGTCTGGGGTGGTTGCTGGAGACGCCGACAGACTGCCACGCCACATTTCTGCAGAAAATTCCAACAGACATTCAGAAATCCGGAGACAAAATCCGAGAATGCCACTACACACCTCACCTGATCTGGGGTTGCGTTCAACCCCCCCTATGAACTGAAATCACAACAACGCTGCTTGTGCTGGCCCAGCCTGGCCGTCGACTGGAGGGGACGCCCAAAGCATCGGGTCGGGGTGGCCGCCTACAGTAGCGGTCGGGTCTGATGAAGGGTGAGTAACCCATTTATTTTTTTGTTATCTCTGAGATCTACACACATTAGGTAAGTGAGGCATACGTTCAAGTCCAACTGCACACCGCAGGGAAATAACGAAGCTTAGTTAAAGGTTACAGTTACCAGTGTTAGGAGTGTCAGGTAACAAGTCAGGCATAACGTTAGGTGTCTTGTAACAGTGACGTAATAGGTCAACTGGAAAATGGACCAACACTAACAAGCTGAGAGGGGGCATATCGCCACCTATTGTAGTGGAGTTGGACATACTTTTGTCAATAAATGGATTCCCCTCCAAAGCTTGTACACTGAGACAAGGACAGTAGTCCAATTAAATGGCCTAGTCAAGCTATTACTGTAGCTTGACTTAACTGTGCATGTAAACGTACTGAGTTTAAATTAAATGAAGGTGAAACTGCTTATCACCTCCTTCCTTATTAAGTAAATGAATGTCCTACAAGCTGTGCTTTTTATAAGGATCATTTTTAATTTATCACCAAACTCTCCAGCATGTGATGCGTTTGGTTAAACAGAAACACCTCTGTCTTATCAAAACTACGGTGTCTTAAATGAGTCACAGGCCTTTTTCCTGATTCCAACGATGATGATGAGCAACCTTTATCCACACACTCCACATGTTGACTCACTGAGATTTACACCACATATTATTAGGTTTTGTCGCAAACTGACTCAGTGAATGCGACAACTACGGAGTCCATACAAAAGATTTAGTTAAAATAATCAGAATTTATGGAGTGTGTAGGTCAGCAAAGTAAGTAATGAAAGCCAAGCATGAATGTGTGTCCGGTGTGCTGCAGAGGTGTTGAAGGTGCAAAACCAAAAAGCAACGATGTAGGGTGGACGTCTGCTGTAGGAGGGAACAGACTGAGTGAACAGCTTTTATAGTCTGAAAGGCCCAGGTGCGCTTAATCAAGGCAACGACCCTGCTATGTCAATCAACTGCCTGACGAGGTTGGCTGACATGGTAAAGTGTGACCTGCGGCAGGCTGCCATGACATTTCTATGGAAAGCTGTGGCCATTTGATTTTGGTGGAGTGCAGCCAAACTAAAAGTTAGGAATAGTTCAGCTTTTAGCAGCAAATTTTGGCCAGAGGATACCTGCATCCAGTCAATGAACAGAGTCCTGTGACTCCTGTGACACGTTGATTTACTCTACAGAAGAATTCCTTTGCTGCCTGAACGCTCTTCCCAGCCACATAAAAATGTAATCATTGCAGTGAGTCACACTCTATCACTGCTAAGTGTGTTTTCAGCATTTAAAGGGAAATTTCGGTTTATTTCAACCTGTCTCCTATCGTCCTAAATTTGTTTCAAGTGACTAGTGACATAAAAATAATAGTTAGCATGTTAGCCGTTAGCCTAGATACAGCTGGGGCGCATAGTAGCGTCAGACCTGTTAAAACGTAAGTGAATGGGCAACCTTCAAGTGCAAAGTTAGTCCACTAAACAAGCTTTTTTTCCACAAAGACCGCCTCATATCGTTAGGATAAATGTCAGAGAGCATATAGAAAACGACATGTAAACGTGTTGTCTTACCTTACCGGTGTGCTGCCATG